CAATCCAAACCATTCCATGATTCTATGATACTCACCACCCCCCTTCTAATAGACCCCAGGATGCCATTGGCCTTCCTGGCCATGAGGGCACAGTGCTGGCTCATGGTCATCCTGCTGCCCACCAGGACCCCCACCAGATCCCTTTCCCCTTCACTGCTCTCTAGTAGCTCCATTTCCCAACTGGGGAATGTGGATATGTGGCTCGGGAGGGTGGAAAACACCATGGCATGGAGCTGCTCTTGTGTTTTTCACAAGCTCTGGTGTTAAAACCACACTGTTTTGGAATGGAGAGGGGTGGGAGCGATGTCCATCCCGGAGTGGTTCTTGTTGTCCCTTCCAGTGTCACCTCATTTCCTCACCCTGTTGTGTTTCTTCCCCCTTGTTAAAGTGAGCTGGATTATTACGACTCACCCAGCGTCAATGCTCGGTGCCAGAAAATCTGTGACCAGTGGGATGTCCTGGGTTCCTTAACCCACAGTAGAAGAGAAGCTCTGGAGGTGAGCAAATCCTTATGCCCGAGTTGGGGACAGGGTCACCATGGTGGGGAGGTTCCTTTGCTCATAACTCTTCCTGACTACGTAGAAAACAGAGAAACAGCTGGAAACGATTGATGAGCTGCACCTGGAGTACGCAAAGAGGGCAGCTCCTTTCAACAATTGGATGGAAAGTGCCATGGAAGATCTTCAGGACATGTTCATCGTCCACACCATCGAGGAGATTGAGGTAGGAGACCACGGGAGGAGATATACGAACCCTCCGTAGCCTTCATCTCTCTGTTTCCCCATTTTGAGATGGTTTCTTGGTCGTTTTCCATACAAAATCCGGGGTCTGGAAGATCCAAAGAGCTTCTCTTGGATCTGGGAAAGCTCAGCTGGGATAAAGTTCACTCTCAAAGATGCTCCTCAAACCCAACTCCTGGTTCTAACACAGATCTTGGCTCCTTGCAGGGACTCATTGCTGCTCACGACCAGTTTAAATCCACCCTTCCCGACGCCGACAAGGAACGTGAAGCCATCTTGGGCATCCAGAGGGAAGCGCAACGGATCGCTGACTTCAACAGCATCAAACTCTCTGGGAACAACCCCTACACCTCCGTCACCCCTCAGATCATCAACTCCAAGTGGGAACGGGTAAGTTCCTCCTTCAATGTTGGCACCATGAGGTTGTTTGTTCCTCTGTGGGCAAATAATACCAAAGGGATCATCAACGAGGTTGTAGCTCCTGCTCCGTAGCTGGATGATCCACAAACTCCATCCCCTTGTTCCTGGAACACCCTGGATCTCATGGACTTGCCAAAATATCTCCACTGCCTCTTTCACCCGTGGGTTTTCGAACACCATCTCTTTCTCCTCGTAGGTCCAACAGCTGGTACCAAAGAGGGACCACGCTTTGCTGGATGAGCAGAGTAAACAACAATCCAACGAGCATTTACGAAGGCAATTTGCCAGCCAAGCCAACATCGTGGGACCTTGGATCCAGACCAAGATGGAGGTGAGGAACTTGGAGAGGTGGTTATTGCGATAGGTTTGGCTGGAGCTGGAGTTCTGGGGAAGAAACCACAACCCTGGAACCTCTCTTTGGAGTGAGAGTTGCTCCATGTTTTTCTTTTCCATGTTCCAAAATGATGGGAAAACAATTAATTCCTGTGTTAATCCCAGAACTGCCTAGATTGGAGAAGACCTTTAAGATCATGGAGTGTGTTATTGCGAGCTGGTCAAGGGAGGTGATTGTCCCGCTCCACTCCACACTGGTGTGGCCTTACCTGGAGTATTGGATGCAGTTTGTGATGCCTTTTTATAAAAAAAGTTCTAAAGCTACTAGAGAGTGTCCAGAGGAGGCCACCAAATTGGTGAAGTGCCATAAAATTGATGAAGGGCCACCAAATTAGTGAATAGTTTAGAGGGGAAACCATACAAGAGGCTGAAGTCACTTGGTTTGTTCAGCCTGGAATAGAGGAGACTGAGAGGAGATCTCATGGGGGTCTAGAACTTCCTCCCAAGGGGAAGAGGAGGGGCAGGCGCTGATCTCTTCTCTCTGGCCACCAACCAATGCCAGGAGCAGAGGGAATGGCAGGAAGATGTGGCAGGGGAGGGTGAGGTTGGCCATGAGGAAAAGGTTCTTCAGGCACCCAGAGGGTGGTGGAGCACTGGAACAGGCTCCCCAGGGAGGTGCTGATGGCACCAAGCCTGACAAGATTCCAGCAGCATTTGGCCAACATGTGCTCTCAGACACATGGGTCCCTCACTCCAAGAAGGACGTGGAGATGCTGCAGCGTGTCCAGGGAAGGGCAACGGAGCCAGGGAAGGGTCTGGAGCACAAGTGTGCTGAGTTCCCAGCTGAGGGAACTGGGGGTGTTGAGCCTGGAGAAAAGGAGGCTGAGGGGAGACCTTGTGGCTCTGTCCAAGTCCCTTGGAGGAGGGTGGAGAGAGGTGGGGGGGGGGCTGTTCAACCAAGGACCAAGGGACAGGACCAGAGGAAATGGGCTCCAGTTGTGGCCAGGGCAGTTGAGATGGGATGTGAGGAAGAATTTCTTTGCTGAAAGGGTTCTGAGGCATTGGAAGGGGTTGCCCAGGGCAGTGGTGGAGTCCCCATCCCTGGAGGTGTTTAAAAGCCATGAAGATGTGGTGCTGAGGGACAGGGTTTAGTGGTGGAGTTGGCAGTGTTGGGTTAATGACGAGATGATCTCGATAATCTTGAAAGTCTTTCCCAATCTGGGCAATTGTTGATCAACCTGGAGCTCATGTTCACACACATCAACACCACACCTCAACCACGGAGCTCATGGTGGTTGCTCATTGCTCCAACCCTGACCCTTTGGGATTATTTCTCCTTCTCCATTCCAGGAGATAGGTCGGATCTCCATCGAGATGAACGGCACGTTGGAAGATCAACTCAACCACCTCAAACAATATGAGCAGAGTATTGTGGATTATAAACCCAACATCGATCTGCTGGAGCAACAACATCAACTCATTCAAGAAGCCTTGATCTTTGACAACAAACACACTAATTACACCATGGAGGTGGGTGTCCTGGACACGAGGATGATGATGGGAGAAGTTTGAGTCATCCCTGAGAACCTCATCTTTTATTGTCTCCCTTCTCTTCTCCAGCACATCCGAGTGGGTTGGGAGCAGCTCCTCACCACCATCGCTCGCACCATCAACGAGGTGGAGAACCAAATCCTCACCCGTGATGCCAAAGGCATCAGCCAGGAGCAGATGCAGGAATTCCGAGCATCCTTCAACCACTTCGATAAGGTACCGGGGGAAATTCCGGTGCTGGCTCTGCCTCTCGGCGTTCCACTTCCCCTGGGGGGCTGATTCCCCCCCAGATCTGTGAAATCCACGGGATTATTTCCCATAATCCACTGGATTATTTTCTCCCAAACCATGCGATTATTTTTCCATAACCTATGGGATTATTTCCCCCCAACCCACTGGATTATTCCCCCCCAGCCCATGGGATTATTCCCCCCCAGACCACGGGATTATTTCCCCCCAACCTACTGGATTATT